TTCGACCAACATCTCTTGTTTGCACACATATTGTTTCCATCATACTTTGAAGAATATGTTTGGCTTCTCGATATGAGAAGGCTGCACATAGCGTCATAATGCCAGAGTTGTTCCGGCCAGTGGCCTCCAAATGATAACTGAACCTCTGGCGGAAATCCCAATTCCTACCTCTGGCAGCAGGAGTACAGATTCCACGAAACCTTGTTTCGAAGCTACGAGGAGCTTGTTCAAGATACCCCAATGCTGTCACCAATTGTGCTGAGAGAGAGATCACCTATTATAACCTCCCCTAAGGATATCGCGAACAAATTAAACTGCACAAGATCAGCTCATCATGGACTCGGAAGGTGCCTCAGAATCTCAACAGGAGAGCTTAACTTCTGGAATAGGTAACCTGTCCATGAAGGCAGCCGCAGGCCATTCTGAAGTCACGCATCAGACAAATGGCGTGGCTCATTCGTTGCCTGACTTAGAGGAGTCGGCTGCTCCCTACAAAGTGATCCTGCAGACCGGCGACGTGATCATTGAATACTTCGATCCCGAATCTGATGTTGCGACACAATCGGAGGCGTGCCATCGTCGGTGGCGAGTCTCCAGCGATGATTTGACACAAAATAGTCCGTATTTTCGGGCCCTTCTTGACCCGCATAAATTCTCCGAGGGTCGACAACTCATGCAGCAGAAGATGATGCATCAGAAGCTTCTGACTGACGAAACGGTGAACGCTGCGTCATCCAACATCCCGAATGCAGAAGTGAGGTATCTGCCCGTTGTGATTCTCCCGAGCAAACATGTCGCATCGAGGCTTGGGTTGGATGCCATCAAACTTTTTCTGGAGATCCTGTCCTTCAACTCCTTTGAAGAGGAACAGCAGTGTTCATTTGATGCGGAACTGAAGTTTTCGCCTGTGTCTCTGATTGCAAGACTACTGGAGCTAGCGGACGCCTTCAACTCTCCGCATGTCGTCCGGGAATCTCTCAAGAGAGCCGGTTACGCTTATGGGAAAGGGAAATATCAACCCTCCAAATTTGATTCTTCTTTACTGAAGCTGAGTGAGGATCGCATCCGGCAAACCATCTTCGTAGCGCGGATACTGGACGAGCCAGTCATATACAAAGTGATGACCCATGCTCTACTGGTTCTTGGCTCGAAGACTTGGGCAAACGGTGTCGAGCCTCCGGTTACTCCTACCCACCCCTGGCGCTTTCTGCCTAACGGTATAGAAGGTATCCTCATCAAACCCGTCACGCCTTTTCCACTCCATTATCAAGCACACTAACCATACTCCAGAGGAGCTCTACTTCCGCCGACAATGTGTTCTGAACACTATTACCGACCTCCAAGCTTACTTCCTTCGGGTCTACGGCGCTTTAGAAGACCCCGAGCCCCCTAAACCTTTTGTCCCACGCCAGCCACTTGCACCAGCGATCAACCAAGCGCGTCCCTTCCAATGCCGCTACGGCTTTGGCAACTCCAGTGCCTGCGACGCCTTCCACCTAGGACAGATGACCCGATTCTTCTCTCTTCGCACGAAGACCATCTTTCTCGGCTCGACCTTAATTGATCCTGATTTCACCCTCGACTCAGACACTGACTCCACACCTGAACAACCACCGGCGCCTCCATCAGATATAACAGCCATCATAGCTTCCCTCAAACAATGTCCGGACTACCAAATAGACCCAAACCACGTCGGCTGCGGCATTCGCCGCCGCTTCCTCCCCCCACTGGATTGCATAGAACGCTTCGTAGGCGACGGACGAGGCCTCCTCGGAATCGACTTCCACTCATGGACCGGCCAGGAATGGCCCTTTACAACCTCGTCCTCATGGGCTAACCGCACTCTTCCTCGTGCAAACGTCATTGATATCCGTATCTCTAAATTGAGCGCTGTACATGGAGGAAGCGGTGCTCGACTTTCATTCACCTCTCAAGGCGAGAACGCCAGGTTACTATTCACCGCGAAAAAGAGGAACTGGGAGGCTTAGCCCAGCCTCATTCTAGGCTGAAGGTTAGCTTAGAGTCTAGCCTAGAGCTCTTGGCTTCCAACTTGCGCGGCATTCAATTTTCTACGTTCTGAGAGGGTTGGTTATGTGTTCTCGTACGGGATACAGATATGAACCTTGTGCTTGTTTTGATATGTTGATATTTACCACCCGTAATGGGAAACTTTGTGTATATAACTCAAGTGATTTGGATAGAGAACATTTACTACCCACGTGAAACGAACAAGGTGCTACTCTTTGCGACATACATCATAGTGTTTGTCAACCAGTCCGATAAAGAAACTGGAGGATATATGAACACCACGAAGGCATTCTTGTCACTTTGGGTGCACAGCATACATACGCACCCATGGTCAGAACACAGTAGAATGACTGTACTCGTGATTACTGCTATTTGTGACCGGAAAGTATCTATGAGGTATGTCATTGAGAATCAGAGTTATGCCTCACTTTGGTATCATTCCGGACCCTACTATAACTCCACATGAGATATTCTTCTTCTGGACTATGTTTACCAGGGTATGTAGCAACCGCTCTGAAATGCTAGATACGGACCAGCATGGATGACGATGTATGGCGCAATCTTATAGTGAATACATATAGAAAGTAAAAAAGAGAGAAAAAAAGAGGCTTATATTGGAGAATAAAACAAAAAAAAGAACCGTGGTCAAAAAGCATAAGACACAACTCGCAGAAACCCAAATGGGCAGTCCGAACGTCATTAGTACTCTATACACCCAAGCAACGGAGACATGAGAAACAAAAGAATCTACTCGATGACATATCCCTCGGCGACGCTCTTCACATCCTTGGAGTAGCCGGTGCTCTCGCCCTCCATCTCCAAAAGAGTGATGTCGTTTACGTCGACCTCGACGAAGGGGTTAGCCTTCGAGAAATGCACGTTCATGGGGAAGAACTCGTTCTCATCTCCGTCGCCTGTGGACTCGAACTCGAAGCTGCCAGATGCGTTGCTCTCGTCCACGGTTCCGATGTTCCAATCCAGGCTATCTCCGGATACTTCGTAGACGGCGTCGAAGCTGGACACTGCCGGTTCTGTGGCGCCGTAAGGGATAGTGACAACGACGTCGCGTAGAGTGTCGGATCCAGTCAGCTCGTACTCGATGGTAACGGTGGTCGAGTCGGAGCCCTTGTTCACCCAGACGGTGAACGTGATGGGGAGGATATCGGCGTTGTCCGATCCAGAGCTTGCGACACGCCAGCGTAGCACACCAATGGAGTTGTTAGCCGGGAACCTCTTGGACGTATCCTTCAATTGAATTGCGGAGGAGTTTGTGAAGACGGCTTTGTCGACATTAGGGTGGGTGCGGAATTGCGCACCATGCGTGGGGTTGGCGTGGAGGTCGAGCTTGAGTTTGGTGAAAGCTGGGTCGGAGATTCGGAGTTGCAGATCACCCTTCACCTCGAAGGATTTCAGTGCACCCTCACGTGTAAGAGTAGCAGAGATTGTCTCTGCGATTGTGATGTGGACAGGATCCCGGTCCGTTGACAGCGAGGCACGGGCGGAGGACACCTTTTCGGCGATCGGCGTCGAGGCTTGTGGTGTCACCAAGGGGCTGGACTCTTCAACTTCAGGACCAAGGTCGCCGCGCACTTTCTCGTATATGTCGGTGGTTTTGGACTTCTTGCCAAGTTGCATGCCCTTGCCGCGGGTGGGTAACGGCCTGGAGTGGGGGAATGTTAGAGACAGCGAGCAGAGATAAAGATGGATGCACGCACTTAGCGAAAGACTTCTTCTTCTCCGCCTCGTAGGTGTCGTAGGTATCGGGAACAGCTGGCCGGGAGGGGGGAGTATAGACGGGGTAGGAGGGCGCCCGGGGAGCCATAGAGCGGCCAGATTTGGCGGCCTCTTTCCGTTGCATCTCCAGCTGCTTGGCCTTCCTTTTGCGCTCCTCGCTGGCCTCGAGTTCTTTGTTCTATACCCAGCAATGTCAGCCATCCATTGACAGTATACCCAGGTGAGGGTATACATACTCTTTCGATAATCTCCTGAATTCTCTCCTCGTGACTCTCCATTTCCAGGAAGGTCTTGATCTGAGTAAGGGACAGATTCTCCCTGTACCCCAGAGTCACCAATTCATCGTAGGCACTAAGCAATTCGAAAGCATTGCGCAGAATCTCCCTCTCATCCAAGCTCTTACAGATGCTGGTGGTGACTTGGGCGAAAAGGTGGAGACTGTCGATGTCCTGCAAGATGTTCGACTGGCGGTTCGTGATCAGGACGATGTATAGCTCGTCCAGAGGCTGGTATACGAAGCGGACATTGTCCTGCTCCACGGTCGTATGCTGAGTACCGGAGTCGGCCAGTTTGGGGAAGGAAGCGAGCAGGGCCTCGATTCTTGAGCGAGCAATCTCACGGAATTGGCGCGAAAGTACGGCCTTGCCCCCGCGGGTGCATATGGAGGCTGCGAGGACGACCTGTTGTTTGTGCGCGATTGTTAGCAGAGCTCTGGGAATTAGTTGAATATCGGGGATCGAACCATGGCTGTAAGGATTAAGGTCAGGTGTCTAGTAAGAAGTGATAACTTTTCGTCCAGATGACAGCAATCTCCCGACGGACGAATGTCTGGTAGGCGTGTCTTGACGTCGAAGCCACGGGGAGTCGCTTGCTGTTCTCTTCGTCCCCGTTGGCCCGTGCGCCGCGCTACCCCCTCGCTTACCGCAGCACAAGAAGCTTCACTTTGCCTCGACCTCTCCATTTACACCTTACAAGTCAACCTTTTCCCTTTCACCTTTCCCCACAACTTATTCAGGGACCAAACTGTCGTCACCGGAGACGCAGTTGCACTTTTCACCGTTCCCGGGTGAATCCATTTCATAGTGGTAAAGGCAGTTCACAAAATCTGTTGTTGGGTTGCTTTCAGGCACACCCCGAGATCGCCACGCCGAAACTTTCGACGCGTCTCTGTCCTTCTGTTGTAACACCGATCGCATATCGATGACATGATAATCGCTTCTTCGCTTGCACCTACCAACATGGAGATCTCTGTGGCCGACGACAAGATGGAGATGGCTTCCCCCTATCAAGGGCATGTGGATGACTTCGATATTGATATCGATATCATGGAAGACCAGGCCTCCGTTACCGACAAAGATATGATGGTAGCGGACGAATATTTCGAATACGATCACGAAGGTGCTCCCGATGAGGATATGGTCGATGATGTTGCCGAGCCGACTATGGTTGATGCCGATGAACCTTATACCGGAGCCGACTACACCGTGGAAATGCAGGACGAGAATGAACGTATTTATGAAGCGGAAATGCTAGAAGACGACTACGAAGAAGACAACGATACCCCTATTGCTGAGGAAATGCCGACATCATCCGAAGCTCAGAACCAAGCGGTAGAAGGAGCGCAAGTGCCAGAACAGAGTGCTGTGATGCCCGTTGATAAGAACAACGCTGAGCAGGAACCCCAAGAGGAGCCCCGGACGGAACAACAAAGTCATGCAGATGCACATAATGACCACCCGCAAGATGTTGAACAACCTATCGACCAGCCAGAAGAGCATGTCCCACAGCAGCCCGAAATAGACACAGCCGAGTCGACCGAAATCAAAAAGCCCCTCGATGGTACCAACACGGTGGAGCCACAGTCTCATCATGTCGCGGAACAAGACGATCGGGAAGAGACCGCTAATAACGCCGACCAGCCTCGGGTCCTTGAGAGCGGTCCCAGCGACGTTGAACCTCCAGCTGATGCGTACAAGGATCCAGCTGAAAAGCTAGAGGGTACAGTAGAAGAAGAGCATGAGGGACAAGGCCAAGAAGGAGAAGGAGAGGAGGGGAAAGTAGAGGCAGAGGCACAGGGGGGTGAAGAAGGACATAATGAAGAGGAAACTAAGGTCACAGAAACTCAGGACCGCTCTGCAGAGGCGCAAGACGTCGATCACCTAGTCGAGCGAGAAGCTCCGGCGACGGAACGCACGCCTCTGTATCCGGTCAAAGTCTATTACCAAGACAACGAAATCTCACTGTTCCCTCCTCGGGAAGGCGACTCATCGGAGACGTTCTTTCTTGAGGATGAGAGCTTGGCTTTTGGGTCTTTCGGCAAACTGCTCGGTTCGTGCCGCGAGGTATTACGTGAACATATCGGAGATAGTGAGGTTCTTGTTGTAGATGTCGAGGCTCTGAATATTCAACTAACCGAGGTTTGTCACTCGTGAATCCCTTCTATTAGGCAAATACTAACCACGACTATAGGACTCACTTCACATTGACAAGGTCACACTACATCAGATTGTAGATTTGTACCTCCGTCTTTGCCACAATGACGGGGTGGAAGAGCCGGAAGCGCTCTATCTTAGCTTGAGCACAAGGCCCACAGTTGCTGCAGAGCTATCCTCTCTCTCTATAGCTGCAAACGAAGGGAAAGGTCTGTCGGAAGTTTACTGGGATGGTTACGGCGAAGCAGAGGCAGCCTCCGCGGAAGTTTACGAGGAGAACCAAGAAGTTGATATTCCGGACGATCTTCAGCAGGAATCCTCTGAAGCAGAGGATGCCCACAGTGATTCCGAAGACAACTACGAGCCTGATGTCGATTCGACGCTTCAGACAGGCGCTGCTGAACAACAGCAAGAAGGGCATGGCGACCAAGCCCATGAGGACCATGATCAAGCAGCTTCAGATAACGATGATGCAGTTGGCCCCGCTTCAAGTGACGTTCGGGAAGGCGATGATGACCAGGACAGCAACCGCCATGAGGCTCATCAGGCCGAACCCGAGTCTGGGGAGTCTGTTGATCAATACGAGCTGAACGAGTCGTATGAATCAGAAGAGCAGTCAGAGTCCACTGCTACGGTGACTCAACAGCCCCTGCCTGACTCAGCAGACGGTCTGGCCGATCATGATCATGATCATGATCATGACGAGCATGAGACTGAGCATTATGGCACGGGAGTTGCTGATGAAGAAGCCTACCCGGAAGAGGAAACTAATGTAGATGCTACTGAACACTACGACTATCAAGAAGATGCGGACGCAGCCGAAGCTGCCGATATTCCCGGAGAAGCAGATGTGGAATTCGATGGCGATGCGACGGCACCGGATGTGCAAGAACCAGACGATTTCCAGGAGATTCACGACAGCGATCAAGTCCAGGATGGCACAGTCGACGCTGACTTCCATGGCCTTGAGAACGATGACGGAGATGTCCAGCGTAGCGGTCCAGGCGAAGAGGCACCGAATCAGACTGAAACGGTTCCGGATAGTGTCTCCCAGAAAACCCCAGAGATCACCAACAATTCTGCCGAGGATTTGAAGGATGACTCACTAGGTACTGCGGAAGATCTGCTAAAGAGCCCCAGAAAGGAAGACAATCAACATGCCGCCGAGGACACTAATGCGGATGAGCTCGAAGAGCCGGGAGAAATCCACGACGAATCCGAAGAAGCACCCGCCACACACGATGACGCCGAAGAGTTGACATTCGACGATGAAGACTACTTGGATCTGGGAGTCCAGGATGAACTGGCTGCCGGCGATGAGGCCGATCTTGCCAAGTCACTAAGTCGCGGTCCAACGAAACGTCATCGCGAAGCAGAGGATGAGTTTGAGTTCACTGAAACCCCTTCTCCGGATGCAAAACGTTCTCGGTCGTCCTAAATTTCTCTTTCCTACCCACACCATCTATTTACCTTGCCCTTTTGCACACAAACAACTCCTCCTTCCCTGGGATTCGAGCTTTGCTTAGGCTCTATCTAACGATTCCAGCATATTGGGACCGGGCTGGTCTGATATGACGTTCACGATCATTGGGCAGCCCTGATATGTGACGAGTCACTAATGATGTTTCCGAAAGATGGCATCGGTCAACGAAGTGCGGAGACTCTGCAGCCATGCAATCCAGATAAGGTACGTGATACTTCGATAACTCCTCCCCCTCATGTTTCCTCCCACCGGACTGGTTTCGCCGGGGCGATGATTCAGCATCGCCTTGGGCACTCCACATACGGGGTGTAAAACTTAGGTTTGTACTTGATACCTCCCACGATTCCAAGTATTATTCTTGCCCTTGTGTTTTTTTTATTCCTCTTTGGTCAGTGATACCACCTATGATGAAGGTCTTTTGTGGCGTCTGGGAGTGGATACGCATCTCTACTGTACTCGATGCAAGGCGTTGTTGTTGTCATGTTGAATCCAGGTAGCTTCCGCGCTGGCGGGATAGCCATAGTTGAATTTCTCTGCGTCTAATCTCCTTGGGAGTTACAAAATGACAGATTTCTATTTTACTTTGATCTGAGTTGCAAACTTCATCAGAATGTAATAGATACACAGAAGCTTCCTTAATGAAGAGAAAAAATGTCCCAAAGCCGAGACATAGCCTGCTAGATAAGGAAGGAAGACGCTGGAACGTGCTCTGGGTTGATGACCGTGCTACTGGGTAGACGATCAACCATATCTAGTAAAGCAGAGCACTGCTGCAGGTGAGATTGGACAGGTCTAATATTCCGATAAGCTGCGAAGAATATAAGCTACTTCTACTGAGGTACTAGTAATAGGTGGATTGGTGTGATGAGTTCAATCACAGGCCATGCCAAGACGGTAGACACACGATGCTCAGACAGTCGGTAAACACCGCAGGGATTGAAGCTAATCCCAGGCAGGAGATGAAATTGAACCCCGGAACCAGAATTGAGGCGAGGGTTCCTATTCTTAGTCCGGCCACCTTACGTTTCAAAACGCCGATCGGATACTGAAACCAGGCTCCTCAAGGGGGGCCGGGCTGTGGCTGGCACGCCTTGATTGGGTCATTGGAATGGCCACCGTTGCCCTTCTTTTCAGGCTTCATTACACTGTACCAGAACTTGACCTTTTAAAAGGCATAACTACTAGTTAGTAGTAACTAAACGACTGGTGGTTATCTAATGCTCCAGTTATACGTACGGTATGTGTAATGCACCCGCTTTTCCATGTGAAGAAAAGAGCTCTAGTCTAGGAGAGTAGTAGTGGTGATAATATTGAGGAGAACAGAGACTCAATTACTCAATTGCATCAGCATATGGTATCAGCAGCTCTCAGGGATTAACTAAACTACTACTACCCTAGTTGTTGAGACAGGAGTTCTCCAAGTGGTGCTTACCTATATTTAGAGGGAATCTAGTAAGTTAGCAGCAGTAGTAGTAAGTAGTAATAGTAGGGATCATTCCTGGCTTGTACAGAAAATAAAGTACTGCCTGGGTATGGTAAGTTTTAATTAAACGCTGGTAACGCTGGAAACATTGCTTGGTTGCTTCAGCCGAGGACAACTTGGCTGGTGGGTGTCGGTCACGCTGTTCGCCAAAAAGGAAGATTAACTGGTGTGTCTGTCCTCTTTGGAACAACGGCGACCGCCTCTTTGTCTTCTTTTCCCTTTTGTCTACTCTCAGCTTATGCTTTTCCGCATAACTCCTGCTGTTCAAGTTCACCCAGAATCTCGCCCTTCTATCAGCCAAATCTCGCCCCCAGCCCGTAATATCTTGGGGGTTTGCCTCCCTCACTCGCTTCAACCACTTACGCGCGTCCAGATCCGGGCCGGTTCCGTCTGAAGGGGAAAAACCCCACCGCACGAGCGCAGGCAGCCAGCCTCTAGGATCAGACAAGGTCAACTAACAAGCTCTCCTTCGATCGCAGGAGTTCTCGACCCCCCCAAACTTAACTGCCGCATCAAGGCTGCAGCATCTGTCCCTGTCCGGCTTACTCGCTCCTTTCTGCCACCCAAACAATTTTTTTTTTCTTACTCTTGCCATTTGTTGTTGTTGTCGTTGTCATTGCTCCTCCAGTCCTTACCTAGGCGCTGTCGCTATTGTCTTTGGACTGCCGGTCATTGTTGGCGCGCGCTGCCGAATGCTTGGCTCCAGGTAGTCAAGTCAACTCAAGTCATCAACCACGCCAACCCGTCCACTTTAGCCTTCCCATCGCGCTTCCCTTCAGCTCCGGCACGGACTACACCTGTCCCAACACTCGTTAACATTGAAGTCGCTCAATTGCAAGGAGCATTCCGCTCCAAGAGTTTCTCACGATGATTTCCGAAAAGTATGATGCGATTTGTCTCCAATCTCTTGGCCCGTGGGGACCATCGTCGGATTCGCAATGTACTGACCGTGGCGTAGGTATATCGGCCTCATTCTGGCCATTACATCCACAATGGCGATCGGTATGAGTCTTTCATAATAGATTCACTCTGTGCAAGAGCTGACAAGTACTAGGTACAAGTTTCGTCATTACGAAAAAGGTTCGTTCGTGTCCAATCGCCGCCGATGACCTGCCGCGCGGAATCGCCTCTCGTCAATTTTATCGATCCTTGTCTCGAATAAACGACTGATATTTATCATATAGGGCTTGATGCAAGCATCCGAGAGGCATGGCTTTGAAGGAGAAGGTTTCTCATATCTCAAGAGTCCCATATGGTGGGGAGGAGTGGTTACATGTACGACAGGCCCTGTTCTTTCGATTGTCGCTCGAACGAGCGGAGCTGACTGGTGGTGATGTAGTGGCCGTTGGAGAAGTCGCCAATTTCGCAGCCTACGCCTTCGCCCCCGCTATCCTTGTCACGCCCTTGGGTGCGCTAAGTGTCCTGATCGGGTGAGCCTCCCCTTCACAGACTGAAGTTACTATACAATGGGCTAACAGGCCATAGTGCTGTTCTCGGATCATATTTCCTCAAGGAAAGACTGGGTACACTTGGGAAACTAGGATGTGCGATGTGCCTCCTTGGCTCCGTCGTCATCGTCCTTCATGCGCCCCCAGACAAGCCGGTGGAGAGAATTGATGAGATCCTGGGCTACGCGCTGCAACCAGGTATGGACCGACAAATCAATCTCATGTTCCGGTTGTTAGCTGACACATCTCGTTTATAGGATTCTTGATTTACTGTCTCGCTGTTGCCATCTTCTCTACCGTCATGATTTACCGCGTCGCTCCCGTCTACGGCAGAAAGAACCCTCTGATTTACATCTCTATCTGCTCCACAGTCGGCTCCGTCTCAGTCATGTCAATCAAGGCATTCGGTATTGCGGTGAAGCTCACGTTGGGAGGCAACAATCAGTTCACGCAGGCTTCGACCTACGTTTTCATGATCGTCACGGGTTTCTGCATTTTGACGCAGATGAACTACATCAACAAGGCGCTGAACCAATTTTCTACTTCAATGTAGGTGCATGTCGAGCTTGCAAGCCGTGTGCGTTTGCTAACGATGTCTGACAGCGTCAACCCCCTCTACTATGTCACCTTTACGACTGCGACCCTGTGCGCCTCATTTATCCTTTTCAAGGGATTCAACACCACCGATGCTGTCAACACCATCTCCTTGCTCTGTGGATTTTTGATCATCTTCTCCGGTGTATATCTTCTGAATCTTTCCCGACACGACCCAGATGGACGACAGATGCTCAACGCGAAACTTGACGATGAAGGAATCCCAACGGACGGAATCGCCGGATTCCAGACTCGGAGGTCCATGCAATCCCGCCGCAGCAACGAGCCTCATCGCCGGAGCTCTTCGGGGGCTTACATGAACGGGCACGGAGACCGTGAAGGGCTTATGCGTGCCTATGATGTCGAGAACCAGGCATTCGGGCTGTCCGACCTGGCCGGGGACAGCGACGGAGAGCCAGGTCCTACCTACAAGCGAAGCGAAGAAGTAGATCATTCTTCTCATCAGCCCAACAAGCAATCCGCACTATAGAATGATGCGACGCCTGACTGGTTTTTCATTTGCCTGCCGGCTACATTTACGACCCAGAATATTGCTGTGACGTTTTCCTTTTATATGCTGTGCTTCTCAACTTGCTTTTCTCCTTTCTCCACCCACTTTGTTCCTCCTCTCACCCCCCTCGATGACCTCTATCTATCACCCCGTGGTTTGTGTTGATGGCTGCTTATTGGATGCATTGTACTTTTACTTCCCTCTCCAAGCGCGAGGAAATACCAGGACGAGGAACAAGAGATGCCCATGAATGATTTGGATGTGCATTGGGATTGTTTGTTTGAGTTTGTTTTCTTTTTCCCTTTTACTATTGCTGGTTATCCTCTCTTCTGGCATAGATCGCGGGCGAATCGACTGCGATAGATCCGAACTGTATATAGGCCCTAGGATAAACTTGGCAAGATAGATCTTTGTGTATTGACGCGCGTGGACTTGGCTGTGAGGCCGTTACTCCAGTGGATTCTTTTGACTTGACTAGGTACACAGTAGATGTCTACTTATCTTCTACAAATAAAAACTAATTGACCACTTAGTGGCTGGGGCGCAGGTGACGTAAAGGGACGATGGAAAACCCCTCGCGATCGGGCAGGTTCTTGGTTTGTGGTTGGGTTTGGCCGCCCAGTGGGGTTGGCGGTTGAAGATCGATGATGTCGGCTTCTCTCTGCCTTGTTGTCCTGACAGGCGTTGGGATTAGTCTTGGACTAGTGCATCTACCGACCTTCGTTTGCCGGATGGCCTGTTCTACAAATTCCCCACTGCGGACGCCATAATTTTGAAGATATATGTCGAGTTATGGTGTGGATGGACAGGCTAGAAGAGATGTTCGGCTCTGCAGCAGCTTAGGCACCGCATCGTCCACTGCTGCTTCGCTTGCCTCGGAGCTCTTTGCGCTTCCCCACTGACCGCGACCGTCGCAACCCCGCGAAAGCTCAAGCGACATGCCGGGCTTGCTGCGAAAGCTAGTCATCGTCGCCGCTGTCGATGGCTTGATTCTTCAATCTTCCGGCAATGGATTGAGACATACTGGGAATAATGAGCCTAGTTCTCTCCGCATCGACTACAAGACCAACAAGGTCTCCTCGCTCCCCGCGCCGGCCTCGGACCTGGACGAGGACAGAGACTCCGGCTTAGAGGCTTATGGCCTGGTTGGTAAGCAGCCCATTTCTTGTTTGAATATTAGTGTAGCTGTTCTCTGCGCCGGATATTCCATCTTGCGTTGGCGGTTTATATCCCGATCAGTTACAGAGATCCCCATAGCTAACGTCCAACGCGCTGTTCAAAGGGCTGCTATCCGTTGCGTCATATTCTTTCCTCATCTCTATCACTCAGCGGCAACAAGTGGCTCAGATACAGGGCAAGCCCATTTATGCTGTGACTAATGTTGCGGTAATCCCGACCTCGTCGCAAGCAGATGCGATTCGCGCGATCTCTCAGGCAAAGGAGAGCCTGTCTCACGGAGAAGGTGGGCCGGGCGAGACTGCCTCCGATGATAGTAGCACGATATCGGACACCGAGACTGAAGGCGGCGACACTGAAGTTGGCACGGTGCCAGCTTCCCCTGAGCAGGAAGTCACCCATTCCCGGGCTCGCAGTGTCGGCAGCATCGCTGAAGATGTGATTGGGAAGAGAGTACGATTCGGACGTTTTGCTGCAAATTGGCTCTCAAGGAAAACTCTTGGTTTGCCCGGCCTTGGTACTGTAGGTCATAATCCTGCAGAGCCGCTCGTGGAAGATGACAATGGGGAGCCGGAGACCATATCCTCTGAGGTGAATGATGAACGTTCAAGCCCCGTTCCAGAGAGTCATGATGCAACGCCTAAAACACTTGGAGAGCCGTTTCCCTCCGATCCAACCGTGGAGTTGCTTCCGAAGTTGCTACGTTATACCAAGATGATCTTTTCTTCCCAGAATTTCTTCTTTGCATATGATTACGATCTCACCAGACAGTTCGGGACGCAGGAAGAGTCGTCTCTCAAAACTCATCTGCCGTCGCACAAGATCGTTGATGAACTGGTATTAGCCTTTCCTTTGTGACGGACAGTATGCACGTGCTAATTCATCGTCTTCAGTACTTTTGGAACCGGCATCTGATGTCTCCCTTCATCGCAGCTGATGCCCACAACTATGTCCTTCCGTTGATGCAAGGTTTTGTTGGCCAGCGAGAGTTCACCGTTGAGGCTGCCGAAACTACGGCTGAGAATCAGTCCTCAGACACGGAAAAGCCGGACGAGGAGCTCAAGGAAGGACGCATACTGGGTGACAAACAAGAGGCAGAAGCTGTTCAAACCAGCGAGAAGAAGCGTGATTATCTACTCACCCTGATCTCGCGACGATCTGTTAAGCGCCCAGGTCTACGATACCTACGTCGCGGTGTTGATGACTTTGGGAATACTGCCAACTTTGTGGAGACAGAACAGATTCTCTCCGTCCCGGATTGGGATCCGTCCCATAATGCTTACTCGTACCTTCAGATACGTGGATCAATCCCACTGTACTTTTCGCAGTCGCCATACGCTTTCAAGCCCGTCCCTGTACTGCACCACTCTACCGAAACGAACCAACTCGCCTTCGACCGACACTTCAGGAATCTGAGTCGGAGATACGGGAAGATCCAGGGAGTCTCCCTTATCGACAAGCAAGCCGGAGAGTTAAAGCTCGGAGAGCAATATGAGAAGTTCGCAAAGGCTTTGAATGAGTCAGGTGGTATAGATGGTGTGCCGCTTGCACTGGAGTGGTTTGACTTCCACCACGAGTGTCGCGGTATGAAATTCGAGAATGTGAGCCGCCTGGTGAAGCAACTGGAGGATAGTTTGAGCGAATTTGGTGATACTGTTATCCGCAACGACACTGTCCTCCAGTCGCAAAAGGGTATTGTGCGCACGAATTGCATGGACTGTCTAGACCGCACTGGGGTCGCGCAATGCGCCTTTGGCCAATGGGCTCTAGAGCGTGAATTGAAGCGTGAGGGCATCAACATCGATCTTGGCCGTGATTCTTCTACTCGGTGGTTTAATACTCTCTGGGCAGATAACGGGGATGCTATTTCAAAGCAATACTCCTCGACAGCTGCCCTGAAGGGCGACTACACAAGGACCCGGAAGCGGAATTATCGGGGAGCACTGAATGACTTTGGCCTGACACTCTCCCGTTATTACAACAACATTGTCAACGACTACTTCTCGCAGGCGTGCATTGACTATCTGTTGGGTAATGTTTCTACCCAGGCCTTCCAGGAATTTGCGGTAGAGATGCAGACTACGGACCCAGGAATCTCAGTTCAGAAGCTCCGGCAGAATGCGATCGACACCAGTTGCAAGATTGTTATTAGCGACCAGTCCGAAGAGTTCCTGGGCGGGTGGACAATGTTAACCCCCCGGCAGCCGAATACCTTGAGGACCATGCCATTCGAGGAGGCGGTGCTTCTACTCACAGACGCAGCTATCTACAGCTGTCGCTTTGACTGGAATGTCGACAAGGTGCTATCGTATGAACGCATCGACCTGCATTCCGTGACCCGGATCAACTATGGCACCTACATCACGTCGGTCTTGACCGAGGCCCAGGCCGACGAGCAGAACAATGTTGGGTTAGTGATTGAGTATCTTGCTGACGACGAGAACGCGCTGCGGGTCAACACCCGCTCCCTCCAGAGTCAGGTTACCTCGCAAACCCTCGACAGCAACGCGCGCCCCAGCACCGAGTGGAACATGTATGCGTGGTTCAAGGGGACCCCCCGCTCGACCACCCGACTCATCGCGTTTAAGGCACTCCCGCAGAACTCGACGGGGGCGACAGTGAGACAGCCGGATTGGGTGCGCAGTATCTGCGAGGAGATCGAGCGGGCCATGAGAGCAGGCAAGACACGACATGATGATGATGATGATGACGGAACGCAGACTTCCATTATCGAGTCGTCAGACATTATATCGGTCGAAGAGGCAAAGAAGCGGACAGGATATCTGGAGCATTTGGTCTACGACATCAAGAAATTGGTGTGGGCGTAGACCGGGGGGTGGTAGAGGTTTCGGTCATATATTTTGATAAATCAAGTGACTTTCTGCACAAGAGCATAGTAATAATGATGTTCATATTTTTCAGAAGGTAACCATCTATGGGTAATAAATGCATTCATTGTTGGAATACATACATAAGTACCAACAACTACCACCTACTTCATACTAGTCAACTTTCAGGGTTAAATAGATCACCGCTCCACTCTATGCACGCGATCAGGGCGGATGGAACTGTTTTCTGAGATACGTACGTAAGTAAGCTAGCTCTGAAGGGATCCCTCGTGGGAGGTGTGCACGATGGGATCGGAGTTCTCTCTCTGACAGGTCATTTCTGGCATCATGAGCCGATCGGGTCTCATGATGCGTACTGCTGGAAGACTGGGGTGTGGGTGCGAGTGTGGGTGGGGGGGAATATGATAAGTTACCGATTTGGACACTAGCATCCATGCATGGAAAGTATTAGGGAGGTATGTATCCTTGGTTTAAGGGAGATAGATACACCTTGGGGGGAATAGATGCATGGTTGGTTTAGCATGGAAATAGATACTATCTGTCGGATGTTATAGTAGGGAATCTTCAGGACTGTATCGAATATGAATACTATTGTATTTTCTTCTGTTTACTGGGGATATGTCTGCTGCCCCTCGCTAGGCTGTGTCCGAAGGTAAAGGTATGTATTAGAAGGTAACTGGGGGAAACAAAGTGTATCCGTCATAGTCGCTGATTACCATACCGGGCAGTTGGTTGCCTTCCTCTGCCTGGCGGTGGCATGTTTATTACCGTTTCGCTGGTTACCGCGGCCACCAGACCTCTGAAAGATAGAGGGAGTCACCCAGCGACGATACCAGTGATGAACATGAACATGTACATTCCTCTTCCATGGATGTATTCCTGCCCATCGCATCGTCCCAACTGGATCATCAGCTAGACCTCATCCCTCTGGCTGGATACAGAGGCAGTGGACTA